GTCTGGATTTTGCATATGTAATGGAAAAAAAAAAGAGCCTTGAGTACACCACAGCTACATAAAAAATAAACAAACTTTTGCAGTAGAAGTAAGACTTGAACAGGATTGTTTTTTTTTTTTTTAAATAACCAATAGAATTTAGTTTCCTTGCTGCTACCCCCTTACAAAAATTACTCACATGGGAATATAATTCTGGTACTTGTGGACGTTAAAAACAGTGAAGCAAGACTATTAGATTATTACTAAGTTGGAATATTTCTGAAACAGTAGTTCGCTCTTAGGAAATTGGAAGTATACAGGGTCCATCAGTCTTCGGCGTTAGAAAATGACAGAGTTGTCCCTCCTGGATGTTGCAAGTCAGCTGTGAACGCTACTTTAAGACCCTGGCTTTCAGTTTATTAAACTCCTTAAATGCTCATGTAAATATACTTGTAAAAGCCTCCAATCTCATATACAGAGAAAACAGTACTGTCCATTTTGCATCCTGTTTTGCTTCATTTGAAATCAAGTCCAAGTTCCCCCTGAGCATGGCGATACCACTGGAGACGCTCAGATGACTACAACTGGAATTACAGGCTCCTCTCTCAATTACAATAGCAGGTATGAAATTAGGAGCAATCTCTAACAGATTTCACATGCAAAAAAGCTTCTATTCCTGTATCATCATCTTCCAATATATCTTCCAGACTGAATTACTATGATTTGTGAATAAGGGCTTCCCATTTTACCTGTACCCATCTTTTGAAAGTAGTCAGTCCATAAACTTGTTGACATAAATGGCAAATAAAGCCTTCTCAAATGGAAAACAGACTGCTACAAGGTGTGGCTTCTGAGAAAGAGGTCCCTCCACAGAAAGAAGGCTGGAATTTCTAGTATAATTATCCTCTACAACAGAATAAAGCTGTACAATACGTAATTTATGTTCTGTAGAAATAATTATGGGTAGGGAAAATTAAGAGTGGACAGGCAACTTTGTTCCCTCTATTGGGTCAGAGAATCTGCCTATTATTTTAATAAAATACTGCACTTGCACAGGACCTTGCCTCTGACCATCTCAAAATTTTCTATAAACATTCAGCAATTAAAGTTCATCTGCCTTATGAAAATGATATTTATATTTTTAAACATGCAAAGAATCTACTGCTCAGAGTTTGACCTGATTATGCTATACAATGTCTTTGTTGTACCGAAGCAACAAACTTGCAGTACCTCATGATCATGAGACAAGGCAAGAGGCTATAACAACAAATAATAAACCTGCAGATGATGAAAGATGTGACTTACTCAATGTCCAGTAAGAAGAGCCTGTAAAAGGTGCATGTACAGCATGCAGCTCAGTATCTAGTGTGGCTTTTTGAGGTCCCTCAAAACCCAATCAAAACCAATCATGTAAGACAAAAAATGTCATAAGAAACCTTTTATAGTCAACGACATTCTATTTGCCAATAAATTTCACCAGTACAAGCTAAAGATTACTGCACGTCAGACCTGCTTTCCAGACAGCTGGGACTCTTGGAGCACAGATCTTAAACCCCTCTGTTCACGATTAAGCTTTCATGCTTGGTATCACTGTTACACATCCCTCAAAAATAAAACACATTTTTATACCGAGGATGAAAACCAACTATAACCTCACGCCTTCAGGTTTGGTGATATTCATTTTAATGACATGAAAAAAAACCCCAAACATAAAACACAAACAAAAAAACCCCAAACAACAAAAACAGATATTAAGAGGAAGTTCTGGTTTTAAACACAGATTAATTAATATTGCTCCCCTAGAGCTGCCAGAGTATCTCTAGTTTCTACACAACTAATTGAATTGTGTTTGATCTTTACATAATTTTTGTTCCAGTAACCTGTTACTTTTTAAAGGCTAAAATTCTCACAGATTCTGATAATGGCTTTCTATAATTTACTGTAATTCATGAAGCAACAGTCTTAGTGGGCGCTATTTCATTAGGACTGCTACCAGATGACGAGAAATACATGACAGATCTACCTATCTATGAGATAAGTTTGCATAAACACATTGGAACATAAAGATCTGTGGGACTCAGCATTTTATTCACTTGCTGTTCCTCTAAACTGCTCAGCTCTGTGAACCATCTTCATACACCTCATTTTAAGACAGATCAGAGACTCCTTTGCAGCAAGTTCCTGCCTTCCTGGGTTTCCAGAGCATCAGATACAACAAGGTTCTGATCCACAGTCTGCGAATTAAAATAAATTTTTTGATGGACTCAGAACTGAATTCAACAAGAGCAGCAGTCAGCTTGCATATTAGTAGCAGTTTTGTTCTGTGGCATGCTGAAATAGAAGCGCAGATCGTGTAGCTGGAGTATGTTTTCATTTCTGCTGTTGACTGGCGCATTCCAAGTGACTTGCTCTGTCTCTCAATAGATCTATTTATTCAAGCCTGCATACAAAATGCAAAACTCTTTC